GGGCGGGGGTGTTTTCCCCGCTGTTCCTCAGGCAAAGTGGAAGGTTGTCCCCGATAATGGTGATCGGGCCGAGGCTTGCCGTAGCCCGTGCGTTGGCGGCTCTGCAACAGTTCCTCAGGCACCCGCTCAGCCGCCGGGTACCGCTGCCTTCACCGGCTGGGCGGTTGCGGGGGACCAGCCCAGAAAACACAGTGCCTGCCCCTTTTCTCTAGAAACAACAGCGATTGCTAACTGTTGGGGCGATAGTCTTGGGGTCAGGTCCATAAAATAGACCTTTTGTATAAGTTTATGATACCAGAGCAGGTATTTGATGGTGTAGGTCTGTGTTACTGAGCAGTATTTTACAGTGCTCTCTCGCTGATGAGAAAAAACAAGCCAAAACGAAAGTTCTTTTTAGTAACTTTGTTGTGCTTTTTGTCTCTTCAGATAGTGGTGTATTTGATATATGCATGTGTGTATTTCAAATATGTTTTCTGTAGACGTGTTATAGAACTGAACTGTGGTTTGAATTTAACAAGGGAGAGCAGAAATGAACGGTGCTAAATTAAGGAGATAAAAATGTATGGGAAGAATTCTGCAACCAGAATCCTTTGTGAGGTAAAAAAGTGCACACACACATTACATCTGGTATATCCAGACTGAACAAGTAAGTTAGCTTTTGCAAGTCGTTTTAATGTTATTTAGTTATAGTTGGAGAAGTAAAGTGAAGAGAAAATTGTCTCTTAAAGTAGCTGTAATTTTGCTACAGCTGTGTTGTAAATTTTTTAAAATAGAGCTGTTTTTGTGTTAGAATTTTGTGTTTTCCCAATTTTTGTGGATTTTGCGAACTCAGGATTTTTTCAGGGTACTTAATGCATTTGTTTTATGCTAAACCCAGAGAATACAGATCTGCTTAAAAACTAAAGGGAAGACAGAAAATGAGGTTTTTAAATAGCACAAACTTGTAGAAAATACTCTAATGGCTGACTACTTGTTTTTACACTGAGCTTTTGTTTAGGAAGGTATTTTCCTATCGTAGTGTTGTATAAGAAACATACGTACTTGCCCTGAGAACTGTAAGTTCTCAATAAAGTTGTAAATTCACAATAAAGAAAAAAAAAGTTGTGTATTAGGTTTTTTCATTCTTCTTGCTGAGATGTGTTTTGTATATTTGCCCTTCACTTCCATGAATTTGCCAAGACTTGTGGTAAGATCATATGAACCTTGGAATATTTATGTGGACTGCCGGAGCTCCTATCCAATCTGAATTAATAACTGAATAAATAATACTGATTTTCATTTTTTTTTTAATGCAAGTTTTTCTTGTGTAACATGCCTTATGTTACATCTGGCATCTGCTTTATTTCTCCAGTTTGTGTTGGCTGGATTGTATGTGGGAAAACTGATTTTAGAACTAGTAATTAAACTTCCTTAGGTTTAATTCTTTTTAGTAAGCTCCCCCCTCCCATCACTGTAGTAGTGTTTCTAGCTATTTTAGTGTTTCTTGACCAAATTACAGGTCTTTTTCTGTGTACAGAGAATGCCAGTGCTTTTAAAAATAAAATATGATGCAACCTGTTATGGAGTAATACAAAATTTACATTTCATGGGAACTTAGTTGTGAATGCTTGCCAGATGCATTTATTCAATGTGCATGCGGTTGCTCCCGAAGCTTGTAAGCCATATAAGCTAGAGGAGAAGAAAAGTTCCAGTGTGCTGTAGCAAAATGAAAAAAAACCTGATTATCTAATAGTTCAAGAGATTTTTGTAGAAATATGTACAGTTGCTTTACAGTTGCTGTTCTGTATTGTGGTTTACGTTCTTTACAGGTTGGCACTGCACTTAAGTAGTGTCACACACCAGATGCTAAAAAATGGAGCTTCCTTATGTATGTTATGCTTTTTTGGCTGTGTTCAGTTTCTGGGAATATATAGGCTATTTTAAAAGTTTGAGAAGATAGAGGAAACATAGAGAAGACCAAAGAATGCTTAGTTGTAAAGAGAAGTTTAAATGTTCTTTGAGACATTATGATCACATGTAGCAGCATAATCTAAAAACAAAAGGAAAATTAAAAATAAAATATTAATTCTATCTTGTAGAACATGTTGTTAAAATGGGATGAGTCCAGAGATACAAAGGGATAGTTCAGTTCATTGGAGGCTGCTCGTCAATAGCACTTCAGCTGTAATTTCAGTTGTCTACATAAAGTCAATCTGTATATCTTAGTGAAGTTGTGGAAAAGATACCCTAAGAGGCAAAAATTTAGTAAAACTGACCATTCAGAGTACGTGAACAGTATGCTCCTTAAAATAGTGTGTAAATGCGTGTGTTTGAATATCTTCTAAATGCAGATTATTGAAAGGTTTGTATTAATACCTGGAAAGAAGCAGGCTGTGATTTCACATTGATGTTTGTGAGTGTAGAATTGTTCCTTGATATTGGATCATGTTTAAATACAGCTGTATGGGTTGAACTGTCAAACCACCAAGAATGATCTTGTGGCTGTTAACAGCAGCCATAAAATCGTTAACTAGTTCAGTTACCTTTGTGGGGATTTATGCTGCCGCTTGGTGTAAAGGAGCTAGCAGTATACTGCTGTTAGTTCCAAGTCTCTTATTACTGTGGCAGATGACATACAAGTCTGAGATAAACTGTAAGCATAATAAATGTCTGGGGCTTCTCCCCTTTTGTTCTTGCTACATCAGTTGCTTACCGAATTGTGCTTATATTGATTTGATGGTGTTGGCGAAGTATGGGAAGATCTAAAGGGCAACAGCTTGACCAAGAATGAGGCACATTTTTTGAGTAAAAATAACACTAAGTGTAGTAAAGGTTGATTAAAAAATGTTAATTATTAATAACCTTGATTAATTACTACACTTGAAAGTCATCCCATGGGATGTGTAGAACACTAACCTCAATCAGCTTATTGGCTAAAGTAAATTGCATTTTTTGTCTTTTAAAGGAAATTCGACATAAATCCAGTGACTACCCTCATAAAGTTGCAAAATATCCAGAAAACAGAAATCGAAACAGATACAGAGATGTTAGTCCGTGTAAGTATCCTTTCTGTAATTATTGCAGTAAACTTTCTAGACTTTTTACTTAGCCAGTTTAATGCTGTAGCTAATAAATCAGGGTCATTGTAGGTTTTGTATTTTGTTTATTTCTGTAGTCATGTATGTTTTTTGTAACACATACACAACTGTGTGTAACAGAAGGGAGAAAAGTCTGCTGGTTAAACTTTTTATGCTGAATGAGAGATAATTGCAATTTGTGGTTATTGGTATGTAGGTAAATGTTTGTGAACTGCAAGGTAATATTTCAAAAATATTTTTATCATAAGGAAATTATGTGTTTAATATTGCTTTATCTGTCATAAAAAAATGAACATCTGCTGAGCACAGAAATTAAGTTAATAGCCTTGACTAACATAAACGGTTTCCTTTTGGGCTAAATTATTCTGCACACTTACAAGATTGTGTGGATAAATGCCACTGGATTTCTACTGTTGATTCAAAAAATTATTGAGATTTCGTTGTTTTTGTCTGTTTGGAAGAATGTATGCATAAAGTTGTTCTGTAATTTTCTCAGTGCAAGTAGATATGGTATGGAGTGCTTTGTATTTTACTAACTGCCATAAATGGTCTTTGTGACACAATGATCTTGTATCTCAGGTGAAGACAGCTATTTTTACCAGCTTCTTTGCTGATGAAGTGTTGTGGACTTTTTTCAACAGCACTTACTTTAGAAACTGTAATCCAAAATCATTATTAAAAAGATGTGAGCAAAAGATTACCAATATGTAGTTATAGCTGGAGAAATCTATAATAAATCACTTTCAGAAGGACTAGGAAAAAAAAATCAGTACAGCCTTTATTTTTGTGCCAAATATTGAAGTTGGAACAAGTTAAATGTTTGTGTGTTCTTTTAGTATGAAGTTTCTCAGAGCACCAACGGCTCAGAAAAGCCTTCTTACTGTATCTAGAATTTTTGAAGGGTTGCTAGTGTACTGGGGCTTTTTGTTTGAGAGCCTGATCTGAATACCTATTGTAAGATTTGGAGAAGTGCTGAACTCCTTGTTTCCAGTTGAAAGTTGTGGTAATAGCATGTGCATAGCACTTCTCGAAATTACACAGAAAGGGTCTCAGATTGAGTCATGCTGGTCAGATGCAGCCGCTGAGTGCTGCTCGCTAGACTGCTGCCAGAATGCTCACTTGCACAACGTATTCGCACCAAGTGGATCCAGCCTGGCTTAATGCTGCATTTCACCACTGCACTCTGATGAAGCTGGACTTCAGTAGTTTAGTGCACAGCCTCTTTGCTGTGTCTGCATAGCATTCCCCAGTATGGTCTGTTTGAGAAATGTACGGCTCTGAAAAAGATACCTCAAGTTAGTCAAGGCTTCCTAAGTTCCACTGCATGCTCAGCAAAGGGTGATAGGCTTCTGCTGGACCTTTGTTGATTTATGCAAAGGTACTTACATATCGCAGGTTTGCTGTCCTGTTACAGCACAGCATTAACATTTTAGTGGTGGTAAAGTAGATCATGTTTTATTCACTTTCTGTTTCATACCTAAATTGGGATGGTTGTAACAAAAGAAAGCAGGAAATTGGATTTGAACCCATGAGACCCAAGTTCTATTCCTGGGTCCAATATCCTATACAACTTCTGTGGCAGAAGCTGTATTCATGCATTTATCGTTTCTCCTGTCCCTGGATTTCATTCCTTAGGCGCTACTACAAAGAGGATGGCAGCTTACCTTCAATGTATTCGTGGTTTTTCTTTCTTTTTAAAAGGGCGTTTCTGAAATAAGAAATAAAGACATTGTGTTATTTAAATAGCATCTAATAATGCCTCCAATAATATCTTAGATGTGTGAGTCGTATTCATCTCCTGTAGTTTTCTGGAGCTCAAAATTTTCCTTAATCGTGGCATGCCTTTTACAATAGCGAAGAGGACCAAACACCTCTGCCTTGGTCGTGGCTTCTGAAATGCTCATTTTGCCAGGAGGAAATTAATTATATTATTGTATTGATCCCCGGACACTGTGCAAGAGCAGAGAAACAGATAAAATTTTGTCTTGAAATAGTAGTTAGGCTCAGGGAAGGGCCAGAGTCATTGCATGCTAGTTGACGTGAAGTATAACGTGATGACTGAACTAAGATGGTGAACTTTGAGGCATGTCTCAGTTTTTAGCATTTATGAAAGAAGTTTTGAATTGGCCCACCAAGACAGCCTGCAGAACTGGGCACTAGGAGCAAGGCTGTATGGGGAGAACAGAGCAAAACACTGTGTTTGAACTAATTGCTGTTGAATTTTACATCTGTGCATTTTCAAATGTGACTCATAATTGTTTCTGTAACGATGGTGAGAGTTGGGAGGAGAAAGAGACCGGGAAGTGAATATATGGTAAATAACATTCCAGGATAGCAGTACCTAAATTTCCAAGCAGATGGGTTAAAAGCTGCGTGGTTTGGTCACTGTGGTGAGCCCATCTAATCGTGGTGCATGTATGCAAGGAACTGGCATTGCAGAAATGCAAGACAACTCAGTCTTATACAATCTTAACATATTGGTCCTTCACTTTGCAAATTTTACTGCTCTTTAGCAGTGTTTAAATGAAGAATGGGTAATAGTATTCTGATAGTCAAAGGCCTTCAGAACTAGAAGTTAAACTTTTAAGATCTATCTACTTAAACATATTGTAAGACATAAGACATAATTTGATGAAAATGTTTTATTTCTCCATAGCAGTGCGAAAATGGTTTGCTAATCTCGATAGCGGCCAAGCCAGTCTAAAATCTGAGGTGGTGTGTCTGCAAGAGGAAATGCAAAGATTAGTCTGTCTTACAGAAAAGATATCAATTACAAGTACAGGAAAAAATGCTTTGGGTTGGTTTGCCCCATTTCAGCCGTAATGTGCAGGACAGGTACACTGAAACCAATTTGTGTCCGTTACATACCGTAAAAGTTGTTTTCTATTAGCCGGAAAGGCTAATCATCTTTGCCCATTACAGTTGAGTTTCACATTGTCTCCAGTTTCATAAATATTTTTGTTAGTGTCCAGTTTTGTTGGCTAAAGAGCTATGGGGTGTATAAGTTTGGTTGGGTAAAAGCCCTCAAGAGTTACTGCCTAGCCAAAAAAAATAGCAGTCTAGCAGTTTGGTATTAGTCTAGAATAGGGAGAGGAATATTTTGGCTGTGTAGTACTGTTGAAACAGGAAGTTAATCTGAAATAGGTTTGGTTTGACAGCCAGTCATTTCCTGACAGATGAAACCATTTCTCAGAAAACATTGTTAAGAGGAAAATAACTTGTGAGGTTATTATTCTTTATTGATAACTTAATGAAACTCTAAGATTTCTGTTATTACTTTCCTTCTAAATCTTACCCTTAGTTGATAGCAAAAGAGTCTAGTGTCTCAGATGGACTGTAAACACCTTTAGAGATCTGCTTACTGTGTTCCCAAGTTTAGAGGCAAGAAGGAAATCCCCTCAGCAAAATTGTCAGGATTTTTTTTTTCCTTTTGCTTTTGGAAGGTAGATGGGGGTTTACGCAGTTTTGTCTTTGTAACATTCCTTTGTAATGTGTGTAGCCCAATATCTTGGGTCATCTGAACATTTCCGCCTGATTTCATGTTGCTTTTGGAGGATCTTGAGAGACAGCGATTTCTCTTGTTCTCTTCCTGTGGCCATTAGTAGCCTGTGTTGGACCTTTCAACCATTGGCTTACAGTTGTCAGAGTGTATACCAGGGAGAGAGGAATGTGAAGAGCATTGTGCTTTACAGGGAGCACTGAGCTGGAGCTGATGTGGGTGGTTTTGCACATAGTGCTGATTAACTATCATTGCAAAAACGTTCCCTTTCGGTCCTGAGTGTATATGCTGAGAATAGGGAGATATTCTGTCCAAAATAAGCCTACTGCACTTTTTGTTGTCCATATTAGAAACTGACATTGGTGATTTTGATGATTATCTAATGATTCTGTAAAACAAATTGTTACCAGAAGCATGGTATAAATAAACTCAATATGTCGCTTTTGGAGGTGCTTCTTTCTTGGGGGTTGGGGAAGAGGGGAATTTTTTTAGCACGTACTGATCTAAACTTTACTGTATCTTAATTTTTTTTTCCCCAGTCCCACTTAAAAGTGTAAGGATCCTGTGCAGTAGTTATGCCTATATTTCAGTATGAATATATTTCAGTTATGACCTAGGCCATGATTGATATGTTGGCGTTCATTACATATGATCAGTGACAGGGTGGGGAATAGTCAGTTTGTCTTTCTTTTGCCTTGGGCTACCTCTGAAACTTGAGACTATAAGTCTAGTGAGAGTATTGTAATTTGAATAATTTAGCAGCTCAGACTAGATTTAGATTAGTGAAATGAAGGAGATTTGCTGGTAGGCAGGAAAAGGTCAGACTGGGTCATTGGGATGGCTTATTGCTACATGTTTTATTTATGACTTTCTTTAATCCATTAAGTAGCATTTCACTCTCCTTTGTTGTTAATAGCTCTATATTTGGGGAGCCTGAGACATCTCTTGGCTAAAAGATAGTTTTAAAGTTCTATAGTAGTTTCACTTTTAGAAACATAGTTGTTTTCAAATAAAAACCTATCATTAACCAACTCCAAGAACTGTATGATGTAAAATGCCAAACGTTTAATATCTCAGTTTTAACTGGATATGTCATTTTCTTTTTAGCAGGGAGTGGGCAAATTGATATGTAATGTGTAGTCTTGGCCTTATTTGAGACACGGGGAGTGTTGTCAGTGGTATCAGTGGGATGGGGTTTCACTTGAAGTGGGTAATAAGAGTTTGCCTATCTCAGACAGGGTCTTTCTGGGAGTAGTTTTCATAGTGCAGGAGCCAGAATGAGAAGCATTTTTAAGGCTTCTACTTCCTTTTCACGCTGCATAGTTTGTTGAGATAGGGGAATTAGCACTTCAGAAAATCAATACTATATTTTAGCTGTTGCGGGCATGGCAACATTTAAGATAAATCTTTAAGATAAGATTTAAGATAGGTTTATAATTTGTATAAATCTCAAGTACTTTGTAAGGGGAAATGCATTACAGCTAACTCACTGTCAAAAGTTGGCTTGGTTCATTTAATTCAGAAGAGCAAGCCAGGGCTTGAATGAGGTTTCTAGGTCATTGTGTCCTTTCTGAACCTTTTCCCTTGAAAGAAGGGAAATCAATATATTCTAGTGGCTTGCTTTGTCATGTGGAGCTTATGCCAGTGTACTTGTAGAATTGCCTCTGTTTTAGTTGGGGAGGAGGAGGGAGGCTGTCTGTGCATAGAATTAGTTGTTAAAGGAGCTTTAAAAAACTTTTATAATTTTATTGTTCATGTTTACAAAGCAGAATTTCTGAGAAGGAAAAAATAAGGCTGAAAATGTCTGTAAGGATTACAGTAGGAAACCTCATTAGGGACTCGGCAGTTCTCTTGTACTGGCAGCAATATAGCAGCTGCTGCTGGGTGATTAAACTGTTAACAGTGCTTGCTTACGTCATCTTTCCGAGAATGCTAGTACCGGTATGTGTGATTTACTATAACAAGATCTTAAGTTTTTCCTGTTGGCAAATGACATGTAATATTTACAAAGGTCTTGGTTTCTCTCCAGTAGGAACATTTCAGATAAAGTGATACATGAAAGGAAAAAAAATAACACTTTCCTATCCAAAGAAAATAACACAGGGAGATATATTTTACTTTAAAATGCATGTATGTCTTAGTTTTACTGTGTCTTGGCTTTGATAATATTTTTTTCTTCATACAGATGTATCATAAATTTTTTTAAGACTCCTGAAAGTTAAGATGGTGTTGCCTTAGAGCTGGAATGCTAATGAAAACAGACTAAACCAGAAACTTTCTCATACTTTTATATTAAAAATAGGTTTTCAGCATATTTCTGTTCTCTGCACCTTTGTGTGTAACTGCATATAAAAGCTAGCACCTAAAGGAGGTAGGATAATAACCTTAAATCTCAAGCTTTAAAGAAAAAAAAAAAGATGCAATTTACTGGTGTCTTCATTCCTTGAATCCAGCAAGATCCTCTTTGACAGTTGCCCATAGAGGATGGATGAGGGAGAGTATAAAAGCAGATCAAGACCTAGTAAATTTACTTTTCCCAGATTTCCAAACATATGGAAAGTGTTTATCAAATCATATGAGCAGTCCTTACAACGAGAGTCTAATTCAGTAACAGCTTGAATTGAAAGTATCAGCTTTTTGTCTATCTGGGGTCATATTAATGGATTTCTTAGATAAGCCTTGTGCTGTATAGACTGGTGTGATATAGGGACTTAATCGGAGTTCAGCTATCGTAGCTGCGCTGAATGTGACACTTGGTAGTTGCTCATGTCAAAACTCATGCATTTTGTGCATTTCCCAATATGTTTGTCAAAAGGAGGTTAGCGTTTTGGTACAGGGATGGGAGAGGGAACAGTGGGCTGACATTTTAAGAGCAACTGTGCCATCAGTCTGCACCCTGAATGAGTTTTGTGGGTAAATCAGGTGAACATAGGTTAAAAACTTGCATCGCACCATAATTCACTCTCAACTCTTGTCAGTTTCTTTATGGAATCTCTTCCATCTCTTCCTGAAATGTGTTGAAGTCTCTTAAATTCATTTTGGTTTGCTATTTTTTATTTACTCTTCTCATAAACAGTCTGTCTGGGCAGTTGAGCTTCAGGGAGTTTGCAGTCAGTTGGATCTCATTTCCTGGCATACAGCTGTGTACAAATTTTAAACTAAATATGCTGTTTATTTAATGCAGTTCTAATAAATGGCTGAAGGATTACTTACTGTGAACAAGTCTGATTTCCTAAATGTTTCCTAGAGGGTGATAAATCGGGTACTAGAAGGTTCTAGGAATAGCCACAGTGATTTTTTATTATGCAGTGTTTTAGTATGACAGTCTGATAATCTTTCTCATATTAATGTTAGAATTTTAAACTGAGTCCTTTGCCTCTTTGCCTTATGCTTGCCTGTGACATAATAAGGGAATCTTCTGTCTTGCCTGTGTAATTGTGAGAGACTGAAGCGGGGTAACTAGATTACGTTTTGTTTAATTGGAAGATTTGTTGAGTAGGTACATTTGGGCGTGTGGCCCTTCTTTAGTATTTTTAATTTGTATAGTGTTAATAAATTACAGGGAAGATTAAATTGATCCAAGCTTGGTTTGAATTATTGCAAGTAGGTTTTTTTTTTTGGCTGTGTGAGTTTAACTTAATGATTCTACCTCAATCTGTGAAACTTCAGTTCATCAAAAATCTTGGAATTCTGAACTTAAAGGAAACCAGTGGAGGAAAGAAACTGCAGTGGAGTGATGTGGTGTGATAGGACAGAGTGCTGCCTGGTGTAGGTTGTGGTGCTGTTGTATTAAAAAAGCGTGACTATTGAGGGGTGGCTGTGAACATCTTTTGGCATGTGTAGGTGGGTTGTTTTGTTTAGTTGTTTTTTAAAGGTAACTGGGTATTCCAGTTTTCTGAGCAGCTTCTGTTAATAGCTGCCTGAAGTGACTGGTGGAATGCTAAGGGGAGAATGAGACAGGCAGTTATCAAGGGTACATATGAAATTAGTTTCATGTATGTTTGCCATTTGAATTAGTACTGCAGAATTTATTTCTAATTGCTTGTCAGACCTAAACTTGCCTGTTAGTACTTAGCAAGACGGATGCATCATTAATTCTTAATTTTCTTTGAATTTTAGATGACCATAGCCGTGTAAAACTGCAGAACACCGAGAATGACTATATCAATGCCAGCCTAGTGGTCATAGAAGAAGCCCAGAGATGCTACATTTTGACACAGGTAAATAGTACCAATTACTAGGTTATCACAGGGATTGAGAATCTGCGGGAGAGAGCGTAATTTGTGTTTGGATGTTTCTTTGTCTCTGAGTTATGTATATCTCATACTAACTGTCTGTTGGATCTAGTTGTGAACATATTTTATATTTTAAGAAAAAGCTAAAGAGAATATTTAAGTATGAATAATTTACTGCATATAAAGCTTTTAAACTATTTCGTGCTCTTTTCTTCAGTTGTTTTGGAAATAGGTTGCAACAACACTTTTACCCCTTATTTTATCTTGTACCTTTTGAACACACCTGCTGTAGCTTTTCTTCTAACAGTACAATAGTATTGATGCCCAAACTGAAACATCCCTTCCCTGAGTTCTTAGTGTGTTGTTGTTTGGTTGTGTTTGTTCTTTTTTTTTAAGTACTGGAATGATCTGTGCAGTGTGGTCACTTTCTTGCCTGAACACACGTACTGTTAGAAGAAAAGCTACAGCAGAATAGTATTGATGCCCAAACTGAAACATCCCTTCCCTGAGTTCTTAGTGTGTTGTTGTTTGGTTGTGTTTGTTCTTTTTTTTTAAGTACTGGAATGATCTGTGCAGTGTGGTCACTTTCTTGCCTATCATTTCTATCATTCTGTTGATAATTTGTTTAAACTTCTAAGAGGAACACTTTTTCCTGTTTCACACAGTTTTCCATAACTGTGTTCAAACACTGCTTTTCCTATACATTCTCATACCCATTTTTTTTTCTTCACTACACAGGGTCCACTACCTAATACATGTTGTCATTTTTGGCTAATGGTATGGCAACAACAAACCAAAGCAGTTGTCATGCTGAACAGAATTGTTGAAAAAGAATCAGTAAGTAATATTAAGCCTAAAGTTGTAAAGTAAGCCACGTAATTTGTGTTGAACAATGTTTGATTGTTATTTTAAAAGAACTAACAGACTTTCTCACTGATGTGCAACATGATGTGTTTAACATAACATTAAAGTGACGGAGCTAAGACACAAAATTCAGTTTGGTGAAAATAGCATCTAATAAATACACATCCAGAATGGTGAAAGTAACATCGTGAGAGAGAGGAGGATGTACAGATAGAAATAAGATAAGAGTAGAAGCTGTGTAAGATGCTGTAGAACAAAATGGAAGGTGGGAAAACAAGTTTGAATTAAAGTATCTTTAGATTATTCTAAATCTAGCAGAGTAGTGTATTTGTTATATAATGATCTTAACGGTTCATAACAAGAAGACAAGCTGCTGCCCAGCAGCTGTCAAACTGATCTAGTTATTTTTGCTTCTTTACATCTAGCGGTATATGTGCAGAATACATGAATATTCTGTTACGATGTAGTTTTTCTGCTAATGTGCCTGAAACCACTGTGGATTTTAGTTACAAATGCATGTCATTTGAGGGTTATGTTTTTTCTTTTTAGTGAAAAAGATTTGACTTTAAAAAGTCACTTATGCAGAAATTTTCATACAGAAAGTTAGAGTGCAGGACAAGAGGAGTAAAGGGCAAGGACAGTTTTGCATTGCTTTGTTAGTTCATTCTTTTGTTTCACTGGAATATTCCAGTATTCAGCAAGCCTTGGGAAAAGTGGATGTGTTACATCAGTTACATAAATGTGGAGCTCTGCACATCAGAAACGGAGGGGGGAAATGTTGAAATAGCTGAGTAAAGATCTCGGTTTACTGTAGAGAACTAGACGGGAGAGAGGTAGAGTGGTTAAGATGTATCTCAAAACATGCTAGACCTGTGATGAGAGAAAGCATAAACACATAAAGCTGGAATGCATAATAACCATTGAAACAGTTGTAGTAACTTGGCTGTAAACATTATGGACTCTGAGAATTCCTCAAACTGGGAGCAGGTACTTGAGTCTACTGTATGGAATAATGGGGTCTCAGAATCTGCTCAGGCAAAGTCCAAGATACCAAGACGCTTAACCGTATTTTTCTTTTTTTTTCCTTCCTTTTTTTTCCTCCTCTTTAAAAAAAAATAAATTAGGTGAAGTGTGCACAATACTGGCCAACAAAGGAAGAAGAAGTTATGACATTCAGTGAAACAGGTTTCCGTGTGAGGCTAGTATCTGAAGACGTCAAATCCTATTACACAGTACATCTACTGCAATTAGAAAATACCAACGTAAGCTTTTCTCAGTCTGTATAGCTCATATTCCTGGGCTTAAAGTATGTAACGAAAACCATTTAGCATATTGTCACTACAGATTTGAGCTTTTACACTGAAAATTGTAATGCACTTTGCTTCTGATATTGTTGAAAATGTATGTGTAACATATAAGCGAGTTAGACCTGATTTTATCTCTATATTAAAAGACATAACAGCTTCAGCATTTTTATGCTTACATTTTTCATTTGGCAGTACCTTAACATGCTGAACTGTAATTGGTGGTAGTGGTGATTCTGAGAGGAGCTGTAAGAAATAGCGTAAAAGAAGGAACCTAGGAGCTGAAAATTCTGATTTCTTTTTAATATCAGAGATCAGACTCAGTAATTACTGTTTCTTTAAATGGAACTTCAGTTTTCTGTATAATTCAGTCTAGTTATCTAAGTTTTTTGGGGGAGGGGTGATTTCCACCTGTAGATAGGTAACTTTATCTCCTCTTGCTTACCTCCCCTTTTGCTCCACAGGACCAACCATCCTTTTCTCTTAAAAATTAAGCACTTTGACAGTTTAATCAAGTTAAGCTCAAAAAAATTGTTCCTGGCCTGAGCTTGGGTTGGAATTTGCTGCTTCTGTTTCAGAGCTGAAGACAGGATTGAAGAGCTTGTCAGTTTGTTCCAGCTATGTCTTGTAAGATATTCTCTCTCCCTATAAACCTTGCCTTATATTAATTGAAAGTGCTAGTATGGCAAGTTTTACTCAAGGTTGTCTTGTCAGTGGATTTGGGAAAGGAAAGCTTGAAGATGTTCCTTTGCATGTTGGTTTATACAACTAAACATTGATATACTTCAAAATTATTTGGATTAATGGTACTTCAAGATAATGTTTGTTAATTCAAAACCTCCTGCACGAGATCAACATGATAAAACTTAGCATGTTGTTCCTTGGTCTGTTCAATCTAAGAAAAGCTTTGTGAAATTCTGTCCTACTGACCTGAAGAATTTCTGTTTAGTTTGTTTATTGATAGTAAAGGCAAAGAAAACGAGAGTAGTGCTTGCAAGCTAGTGCCTGAGAAGGAATACCTCCCCTTTTTTGGAAAGCTGAGGCACATTTTCCTAACTACCAAAATGGTTGTTAGATGTTGGCCCCTAATCTTCAACTTCTGGTTTTCACAGGTTGCAGTTTTCATGATATGTGTGTGTTTGGACATAACATTAGCTGGAAAATGCAGAAATCCCTTGAGGAACAGCACAGCCTATACTATAGTAGACTTTTGAGTTGGAACTACTGAGTACTTGAATTTCTGGGTTTGCTTTGGACTGGTAGTGCAGGCCCATCAGCGCTGTAAAGAGGTTCTTGTATGTCATGTAAATAATTTTTGCAAATACTTAGCAAACTTACTGGAATGAATTTTTATTTTAATGCCCTAGCACTCCTACAAGGCTCCACGAATATTAACTCCAAATAATATTTTTTATATAAAACAGCTAGAAGAATTAGAACATACTCGGTTACTCAAGCAGAAAAACTACTTATTTTCTAGAAGAACGCTACAAATGTTGTGCAGCCTTCTGTAAGAATTTGATAATTACACCATAAAACTTGTGAGAACTGGGTATTCGCAGTAACTTGAAATGTGAGCTTAACTATGTTTATACAAGTTATTCTAGAGGGGACTTTGGTGGAGGCAGAGTAGTAAGACATTTAGACACTTGATGCCTGGAATATAAGATGACTCATGAACAAAATATACTCTGAATTCCAAGAAGACTTAAATTTTATTATTTCCTGGAAAACAGAGACAACTCAAATTGTCTTTAATACAACCTTTCTGAACTCAAGTAAATTTGTGTTACTGCAATAAATCTCTCTAAAGCATAGGCAAAATAGATACGTATGAAGAATAAAGTGCTTGTTTAATGTTGTTACCAATGAAACAACCTCTGAATGTTTGGTTGTTTTTGTTGGTGTTTTTGTTTTGATTTGTTAGAGTGCAGTTAGAAGCACAGGTGGGGGTTGGAGGTGCAGTGTTTGTTTTTCAGGATTAGATCAAGGCATTTGGTGGGTTAGTTTGTTTATATCTGTTTTAGGCAGACATTTGGGTTTGCTGTTGCAGCTACCATAGTCCAAAAAAGCTTTGTAGAGGACATAGTGTTTATTGGTATCTTTTCAAAAGTTTTGAAAACATTTCTAATGTGCTTTGTCTTGCTGGTGATTATTGTGGAATTTCCTTACTTTTGCCTGACCCAGTCTGTGTTTGAGAATATAGAAATTTGAAGCTGCCTTTCCACCATGATTCATTATGTATCCTTCCTCATTTTGTTGGTATCAGTCAGCTCTTCTGAACGTTGACTGCTGCTTTCTGCTGTAATTGCTCAGGTTTAGAAGTCTCATTGAGGAAAGATTGACTGTGAAGGCTTCCACAAACCCTTGCCTCTGTTGGAAAATAAGGGTAGAAGGAAAATATTGTGCTCATGCTAAAAATTCATAATAATTTAGGTGCGAAGCTATTGCACATCTGTGATTTGAAGCAAAGTCTCCCAGTATACTAGAGAAGTGATAGGTGTTTGACAGCCTTTCGTTAAATCTGCAAAATAACCTTATTGGATGGGGTTGCTAAGTTTTGTGACAGTACTATGGGAGAATTGTTAGATACTGACAGCTAACTTCTGGAATACCCTGGGTTGAATATGTATTTTTATTTTATTCTTTTACTGCTGCTTTTATCCTTCCTTGTCAGAAGTATAAATACTGGACTTCAGAGAGAAAAAAATTTCATTTTCAGTAATTTCTGATATGGCAACCCAGATAGCCTGGGGAGGGATACAATGTGACACATAATGAATGCTTGTAAGTAAAACCCCACTACATTGATACTGGGGAATTCAGGGAAGGTATGGAAGGGCAAATGAGCATCGGTACTTGAGGGAACCTGGGGATTGACTGGGTGAAGAAATGGAGCAGTGGAAAGGAATTGAAATTGCTGGAGGAAACTTGATGATTGTGTCTCAGATTTGGTTCCTAAAAATAAGAATAAAGCAGCTGAAGGAGAGGTTTGCAAAGAAAATACTTGCTGGAGGAGAAAGGACTAGAAGAAAAGAACTAGATTTGATGTGACACTGGTGGCATGATACTTTAGAGTAAGGACCATTAATAAACCCCAAGTGGAATCCTGAGTCCTCTGCAAATAGCAAATATTTTGAAAAACCCATTATCAAAATGGATTCTCAACTTAGTACCAGGCCTCTGTGTGGCCATTGCTGTCAGATTAAGGTGACGTGAGACTGCTTAGTGGCCCTCGCTGTCTGATCCTGTGGATGAACCAGGAAGAGTCAGTATAGTTCAAGAAGACAAGATTTGCTTTGCTGATAGTTTACAATGTCCAAAATTTTAAACGTACCAAGAAGATCCTTTGCGTGTGGAGGCAAGTAATCTAATGGCAGGTGATGTTCTGGGATTTAGTGGTGTCTTTGTATGTGGATGCATATATGTATGCAATTCCTATAGTGTTTTGAAGGGCTTTCTGCAACATGGCATACACTTCCTTTTAAACTTGTGGGATATCCTATCACTTTTGTCAAACTGAAGTGGGAATTAATTTTGATCTTCATGACCACAAAAATAGGACAGAGGTGTTAGGTCTCTAACAGGAAAGGAGAACCCAGACTCACTTGAATGTCAGATGTTTTGCACATTCAATGGGCATAGCTATTGCCATGTGGACTTACAGGATATGCATTAGTTATTGAAAAAAAACCCAGAATGTTTGTGAGGGTTATTTGGCCCAATTATCCTCATTGCCATTTTTATATACATTTTGAAAAACATTTTGCAAGCATTAGAATGAACAAATAGAAGAGGTTGTGGTAAAAGTTGATTTAAGATTTTGAATTTCAGTGCTTAGAATATTGCCGTTACAGCATGCCTTCTCATTTTTATATGATGAAATTAGTTGTTAATGCAGTTAAGGAATGATCATTAAATACAGGACCACTATGGGGTTATAGGTGTATTTTATGCCTTAGTATGTTAGGCCATTGCAGTAGCCCTTAAACTATGAAATGAAGGCTTTTATAAGGAGTGTGTGACATTTGACAGACCAGCATTTTTCTGTCTTCACTTGTTTTACTTGACACTGAAGGCATCAGCTTCCTTTGAGCATTTTGGTAGTACTTCATTAATGTTTGTACTCTCTGGTGCCTGAACCTAACTAAAATTTTTGTACCTTTTTGTTTTGAGTGATTGGATAGTCACTGTAAAAAGGTTATGACAAGGCTTGTTTTGATGAAAGTTAATGTAATGGGATTATATTATTTTTCTGCTCAAGTCCTCGTGTGGATCTCTTCTTGTAACCTGGAGCATGGCTTGTGGTGTGGTCATCCTTTGATTATACTGTTAGCATTGCCAGCAGTTAGTGGAGAACTGTGCAGTGGGGTGGTAGCTTTCTGAGTTTAGAATTTTTAGCTATGTTGGTTATTTACTGAAAGCTTATTCCAGTAGTTTGTGAAACTTCCACTAGAATGGTTTGACTAATTTTTGTGAAAAGTTGTTTCTTTAAATGTTGTCCTGTGATTATTTAAGGATTGAAGCTCAGCTTTTTTTCTTTAAAATAATATTGTAGTTTCCTGATAACACTGTAATGAAATCAGTTGTTCTTTAAAATTTAATTGCTATCCATCAACAGTTGTGAGTCTTTAGCAAGCCGAACCTTTTCTCATTACAGTCCTGCATCACTTCACCTAAGTGATAGCTGTGGTACAAGGCTCAGTGATAGGGGGAGTTCTTTAAGAAAGGGTGTTACAGATACTCATGCAAAGACAGTACTTCAAGTGCACAGCTTGACTACAAAACACCACTTCAAAGAGCCATTCTCTTTAAGAGAGAAGATGTGGGAGGTTTGAAGTATTCAAATGGGATTTGGCTGTATGATTGGAAACTACAAGGTCACAGAAGACCAGCCAGTTCTGGTGCTCTGAAATGGGACTCATGAAGAAAGATGAAGAGACTAGATATTTTTAAAATGAGCTGAAGTGATGGAAGATTGTGGGATGGATAAAGCCTTTGTACGGTATGGGGAGGAAGAAAAAATTAGTTCTGTGGGTTAGAGCTGGATGAGATGTACAACAGCACCATTTAATCTCTCCTTTAGAAATACCTGTTTTCAGATTAGTGTAAGAGCAGGGTGACTCTTGGCCACATGCTTGAAGCACTACTGTTTTTTCTTCAGGAGGCGGGTGCTAGTGCCTGTTAGAGTTTGCGACCTGGAAAAAAAACCCAACACAGATTACCTTTGTTTTCTATAGATAAGGGCATTTTTGCCTTCTTGAGCTATAAGGAAGGCTTTCATCTGGAATGCTATTGAAGAATCTTGAGGGGGAGGGGAAGAGTATCAATTACCACTTCAAAGATTCATCTGGATTCACAGGAAACAACTTTAATCTTTGCTTTACATAACGTGTGTATTTAGCCCATCTCTCCAGTTTTCCTTTTAATTTGTTTGTAAATTGATGAATTATTTTTCTTGTAAATAGAGGAAATTGCTTAAGAGTGTTATCTTCTTGAAAATTCTATAATTTCCAGATTTCATACAAGAAAATGTATCTCCTTCATGATTTTTAAACAAATGGGTCATTTCAGTTGATTAGTGAGTTAACTCACTAGTTGAAAAACTAGGTGCGGAAGACCAAGAAGATCTTAGTTGAAAATGCAAACTCGTTTTTTAATGCTTTGCTTCAGACAAATAAGAAGGGGAAATCCCAGTGTGTTTATACAATTTAGACATTGTCAGGTTTTTTTTTCCCCCCTTTGAAATCTTACCGTGTACTCGTTTTCCCAATACGATGGATCAGACTCTTGTCCTTGTTGAGCTCTTAGCCAAAAGACAAAATATTCCTGGACGATAACTGTGCATTTGAGACTGACTTGAGTTCTGTTAATACCCAGTGTTTTCTGTGACAGTATTGGCAATCTTGCAATATCAGGCATTAAAAAGCAAAAGACAAAATAGGAGAGTATTTTTGTTACTGTGCTAACCATGAACGGGATTATTTTAGTTTCATAAAGGAGTTTCATAAGTTGTCACTATAAGAAGTTGAAACATATTAAGCATATGAAGAACAGTAGAATTTATTAGAATTTCATAGCTATGTTTTACTGTTGCTGAAAAAAATAGCTTTTGTGGAGTACATTGATATTTTAAATCTTCTTGTGTTCCAACTTTGTGGAGGTTTATGTAGGTTTCAATCTATGTGGAAAATAAGATGAAATGGAGGGAAGATAAAAATAACTGAGCCTTTCTAAAATTGCTGAGTAAATCAGTGATCAAGTTGTCTCAAAATCACTGTGCCAAGGAGCGGCATTTAACAGCAGCTCTGAAGTGAGTTCCATGAAAATACCATCCAAATTTGTCATCAGAGCTTTTCAGATATATACATACTCTCTTGCTGTCATTTCCATACTTGCATGTTAGCAGAGGAGCTGAGTGGTTCTAAAGCAACTGCATGGTTTTGGAATCCTTCCTTCTTACTTGGAAAGAATGAACCATGTCCAGCAGAAGTCTTGCTAGACATCCTGCTGTATGGGTTCTTACAGGCCTTACCCGTAAAGCTTCCTGCTCCTTGCAGTAGTGTCACTAGGATAAAGGAGATGCTAATACCGCTTGATATTAAAATTTGCTTTGAGCAAGAGTGGAGAGTGCTTACAATGCTGACAGGTTTTTTTTTTTCCTGTCGTATTAATGCTAGTGGTGTAATAACTGCTGTCAGCCATTAAGCTGCATTAGTGATAGAAGAATATTTGGGCGCAAGTAGTAAAGCAAACCAAATATAATATTGGAAGTTTGAGAAGAAGAAAAAATGTGTATGGTAATAAATGCAAAGGGGAAAACTACCAGCTTGGATGAAAAGCTCCTTCAGGTTGCTCTGTTGGTTGTCGTCCAACTTGAAGCAAGTTACTGGCTTAGTTGTCTAAGTGGGAGGTTTAAAATAGAAGATAGCTATTGATTTAGATTAGGGAAATGTGTGCTAAGTAAACAAAAGTAGACTACTTTCTAGTTGTATTGTTTGTTTTTGCTTCTAGAGTGGTGAGTCCAGGATGATCTTTCATTTTCATTATACTACATGGCCAGACTTTGGAGTTCCTGAATCCCCAGCTTCATTCCTGAACTTCCTGTTTAAAGTCAGAGAGTCTGGTTCCCTTAGTCCTGAACACGGGCCTGCAGTAGTTCACTGCAGTGCGGGGATAGGACGTTCCGGCACGTTTTCATTGGTAGACACTTGTCTTGTTCTGGTAAGTATTTGGTCATTTTCTCTGTCACCCCTTTCCTTCTTCTGACACCCTGCCTCCCTTCCCAATAATGGGCTTTTTGATCAGAAGGCTTTAAAAGCATTTATTTAAGTTAATGACGTGCCAGTGAAAATTTTAATTAAGACCTCGTACTTTTTTTTTCCTGCACATATTTTGATGGTTTAAAAGCACAGCTCTTGAAATACATTTGCAAATCCATTTTGAAGTACAGTACACCTTTTCAAAGCTTCCTGGAAAGTAAATAGTAAGAGTTCTTGTCCTTTTATGTAAGATCTGCTTAGAAAAAAGTTGATTTTTGTTTTTATTTGAGTTTCAAGTTAGGCTTATGAATATATATTGAGACAACTGAATATTTAAGTCTTTTCCCCTAGACATGGAATATCTCGCAGGTCTGACAGTCCCCTTTTCTTAAGGTTGCACAGAACTGGTATCTGAAATAGGAGGAGAACTCGGGCATGCCCCTGGATCTCCTGCAGTGTGTGATGGAGGATGGTGCAGAATTTCCCTAGCAGTGCAGCCCTCTGGGAGGTGGGGCTTGGAAACCAGTTGCAGTACCACATGAATGAGTAGAGTTTTTTGCTTCCTCAGTGAACTGCATCATCTATAATTGTTCATTACTTGAGTGAACTTTAAATGTTAAATAATATTTTAAGTATCTTTAAATTTTTGTTGGATTTTAAAGGCCAGACAGAGACTTTTTCCTCTTTGTCTGTACTTGGTAATAGTGAGAAGTACAGCAGAGGGTCAGGTGAAATGGGATTTCATTTAAATTATAAGACACTTGTCTTCTGGTTCGGTTAGGTCCTCTCAACTTATTTTTTATTTTCAGTTTTTCTTTTTTTCTGTATTTTGAAAAACATAGGTGTATATTTTGATGCAAGTATACTTTAACATTAGATGCAGTAAAATGGACGTTGCAAGAAGAGCAGATATGTGGTTAAACACACCCCATGAATGTAGCGTGATGACAAGTGTGTGTGTTACTTGGATTAGGGATTCTGCTTTAAATAAGGAAACTTCTGCCACATTCAGTTATTCCAAATTGCTGTTCCATTCAGGAGCAGTAGGAAATACTCTGTGGTTCTGATTCTTATAGTCCTATTTCAAAGTACAAATAGATGCCTGAATAAAGTCAAAGCATATGTAAATTTCTTAAAATTAAGTCTTAATATTAGGCTACTGATTTATTTGGTTAATCATTGATTTGTTCATAATAAGCTTTCATTAGATGGTTTGCTTTTTTCCTGTAAAAACAACTTAAAATAAACATCTTGGATTATTTCTATATATAACTGATAGAAACATAATATGAAGAAATTTAATTTTTAGATTGAATTTTATGACTAATTTTTACTTGCAATTATTTTTTGTATGTTATCTCTTTTTATCAAGAGCAATGACACTTCTGATGTAACTTTTTTTACAGATGGAAAAAAAAGACCCATTTTCTGTAGATATTAAAAAGGTATTACTGGATATGAGAAAATATCGAATGGGACTTATTCAGACTCCTGATCAACTAAGATTTTCATATATGGCTGTAATAGAAGGAGCAAAATTTATAATGGGGGATTCAACTATACAGGTAAATGTTTAGCTCCATGTTTTTAAACACTAATAGTAGACTGCTAACAGTAGTTAAAAATGAGCTCTGAGCTATTTTAAAATATGCAAATTTTAGAGATTTAAATAATTTGCCTTTTTCAGTAGATGCCTAGAAGGTATTAGAGGGTATCTGATGAGCACCTTCTGTCAGCTAAACTTTTAATACTATATATTTGTCCCCTCTTATCCAAGATAAAAAAATAAAAGGTTAAATCAGTATCTTTACTGATATCTTTCACTGAAAAGCAAAACTAATGCCCAGTTCGAAAAGATAGCAAGGATCGTTTTATGATTTTTGATCTCTGCTATTAATTTTCCTAACAATAAATTTGCCTGATGCTATAGATCATATTTATTAATAAAGTTGCTGCTTTTTTTTTTTTTTCCTAGCTTTCAAAATTTGTGTTAACAGTTAGTAGAATCTAGCCAAACATAATAAGCTTTGGGGCAAACATATTGCCAAATCTCACAATTTTTTCAGTGAGGCTTGCAGATGCCAACAGTAGCTACAGCTGTTTTAAATGGCTGGGCTAGGTAGGAAGGAGGACTGGGAGGAGAAGCTGTGAAACAGACTTAATTCTGCTTTCATATGCTAGGGCTTTTTCATTTTGTTGATTTCTTTAAATGATGAATGAAGTAGATAAGCTAAAACACATTTCCTCTTTTCTGTGGTTCTTGTAGTTGTCACATTCTTTGACAAATGTTTCTTGACTTGCTATGTAAATAAATAATTTTGCAGAACTACTAATCAACACCTAGGTAGCATGTTGCTAGGCTGACACCTGTGCCATATACCTAGAAGACTGCATGATTCACTATAACACTAACAGCAGTTTAGCTGCTTTATTTTCTGTTGCTGGTGGTATGGTGGTATTCTCTCTAATAATTTTCTACTTTGTTTTTTAAAAAGCCATGCTCCAAACTGTGAGCAGCTCTGGTTCCTACACTTACCCATCTAGATCACAGGATTTCTTGTTTCTGGGTACAGGGAGCGTCATCAACTTGGAATACTGCTTGTCAGGTTCAAATGTGTTATTTCTTCATACTAAAAAAATGCATAAGAAGGCACACTTTCCATTTTTTTCTTGTTATGATTGTTAGATGATCTTTCTTAAACCAGTGTTGTCTGCAGCGCAGGCAGTTGTCCTGGTGCTTTTCTCTTTAGGCCTCAGGGTCATGTGCAGAAAATCAATTGATGGTACTTCATAGGAGTATTTCTCCTTTCAAGGTCAGCTAGATCATTTTTTGCCCCGCCCCCCCCCCCCAACCCCGTGGAACAGTTTTACTGTCCAGAGTGGGAGAGGTGTTTACTTCTCTCTGCTAATGATGGGGAGGGCATGAAGTCATTGAATGCTTCTCTAATATAACATGACCCAAATGTTCATCTCAGACGCTTCCCTGGATTTTGGAAGTCAGTAAGCTGTGCAGAGAAACACAACATGTGCTTGAACCTTTACGTGCCCTTTACGTGGTTAGAGCTAGTAGCTGCAATTGCAACACTTGTATTAGAGGGTGAGGAGTCTCTTCCCCTCATTTAGCACCAATGGAATTTGCAGCTGTGACCGAAAGGAAGGATCCTACGCTTGCCTAGGTAGCCCTGAAGCCCTTGCAGAGAGATGTGTGGTTGGTGTGCTGCTGCATGGTGCTGTAGCTAAAACAATTACTTGCTAATTATACTACACCACTGCACTATATAAAATGGCTGAGGTGGAACAAGATTGAAGTTTTCATTTCTATAAAATTCCTTCATAAAAAAGATAATATTGCTTCAACAACATAGAATACCATCACTCTTTCAGAAAAATATGTTGAAATCAGTTGTCTCTGGAAAACACATTTGTAGCTTTGAAAGGACAAAGAAGGTTAGATCTGTAGATGTGTTTTGGAGACAGAGACCAAGAGTATTATAATTTTGTACTGAAAATTGTGAATCCAGAAACTGTATCTGACATTCACCTGATTATGGCAAGTGAACATTTTAATGTGCCTTTCCATTGTGTCCATTCATTCCAAGAGGCAATACAGGCCCGAAGTCTTAGCTCCCTTATACAGGCATTTTGGTTATAATTTTAAGGACAGCTGTATTTCTTAAACTTCATCATTTCTTTGTTTCTTCCAGACACAATTTCACAAGACACAGTGTAGTACTTCAGTTCCTGAGTTATATTTTTGTTGTTCTTTTTGTAAAGTTGCAGGAATACCATAAAATGGCAAAGGTAGCTTAGCAACACAGTCCTCCTCGTCTGTCTGCTCCAAGTTGTACATCATCTTACCAGTCCTTACCATTCATATAGTCTTGTCGTAGATATTTAAACTTAAAAGTACCAGCCACTTGAACTATTGTTATTCCATGTTTAAGATAGAATTCTTGGTGGGAAAATCCTTCTGTTTGACAAGAGCAGTAAAATTGTCACTGATTTCAGTTCTTCCTGTGTGGTTATCACTCCAGATGGAGCCAGTATTTATCTTAGCCAGCAAGTCTCTTACGGACACAACTATGTCTTCTAAAAGGCCTTTTTCGCTGACAGTAAGATGGAGCTGATAAGTGGATTTCCATTTGTCAGTGGCTGTTTATTTTTTGAGTTTTGTTTGAGACAAAACAAAAAACCTCTGAGAGTGAAGTCTCTTGTGCGTAAAGACTCCCTTTGTGAATTTCAGATCTATACTGGAAGCTCATCTGCGATGGAGGAGTTGATTTATTGTTAAAGCTCATTCTGCCAGGAATTAATTTATAAGTAGCTGTGTTTTTTTGACATTGAGTTTGATACTTAGCTTAGACCAGCAGTCTTGAACTCCTTCAACAGGCGAGAATCTAACACTCGTTTTGTGAAGAGTCAGTTTTCAGTTTATCTTTCTTATCATGTCTACATTTAGAAGTAAATTATTTTTTTCTGTCTAAGGCATGGCTGATTTCTGTGAGAAAAGAACCAATTGTTTTTTAGGGGCTGTTTTTTTCCTTCCTGCTATCTTTCTGGCTTTTTTTTTCCTGCTTGAAATTTTGTTGAAAGAAAGCCTTCAGACTGTTCATCTTTAGGACAGTTACCCGTTAGGAGTGAGATCTAGCAAACCAGTTTTACTTCTGATCTTTTATTTTTTCTTCCATCTCATTTCAGATTACTTTTCAAAACAAGGTGAATATCTGTTTTATGATGCAAGAGATCTCTGGGCTAATGAACCACTAAGTGAAATAGTAGACCAGAACTTTGGCATAGATTTTCTTTTTTTTTCATTAGGGTTGCAGATTTTTCCAGTTCCCTCTTTTTAGGCAATTTTTGATCCTACTATGTTTTGGAGCCATGATAAGTAACAGCATAGCATAGGCCTACAGAGAGTAGAGGGAGATGGAAAGTGCTGAACAGTGCAGGACTGTACAAGACAAGTTGCTTTCTCATGGTGGAGCTACTGTGGACAGTACAGACCTGAAGTTAGTGGGCTCATACCTTCACAGTAGCATCATCCTGGAGAAATATAAAAAGGGATCATTTTTGGAGAAGATGCATCTTCATCTGATGTTATTTCTTCATCTAGCAATTGTTATATTTTTTCTTGATCTAGCAGTTCCTTTAATCTACTTCTGTGACTTTCCTGTGGGAAAATTCTTGGGCAAAGAGGACTTTCAGTGCTAAGGGAATGTTTGAAACATGTTCTCCTTTTTTGCAGAAACGGTGGAAGGAGCTCTCCAAGGAGGACCAAGCGCCAAGTTCTGAGCAGTCTCCTCCACACCCAACAAAAATAACCACGGAGAAGTACAATGGCAACAGCATAGGCCTGGAGGATAAAGATCAAATGGAGAAAATAAATACTGACCTGTCCACTAAAGTTCAAGATATCACAGATGGAAACATTGAAAGGTAGGCAACATGAGGAAAAGAAGGCAGATACACTCTCTTGAGAGGCTGAATTATTGTATGCTTTTCTTATCATAAGAAACCTGCCAGATCTTTCTTAAGTAGAGGTAAAAGACAAGTGGTATTGGACTGATTTAATTTTTTTTAAAATACAACTTCAGATTTTCCTTGTAATAAAACTTTATTGTTCAAAGATCAAGAGAGGAAAAGCAAATGTCTCTAATTGAAGCAGCTCAACCTCATGGTTGAAAGCCTTTTCCTACAGACTCTGAGAACTCTGTTGTGCAGTGTGAATTAGGTCCTAAAAGTGCCGAAAATAATTCAATACTGATTTTTAAGTACAATGCTAACTTCTGTTTGGAAAAATATATTTCAGAAGCACAAAGTTTTTATCACCTACTGCTCCCTGTATGATGATTGCGATTATCATTGAAGCCATGTGTTACCCTCCCCTGATGTTAAATGTAGCACTGTGAATAGATGCCTGTGGTTTAGCTGTGGCGTGTGAGTTTGTCTCTCTTTCAAGTTTCTCTCCCTCATGAGTAGCAATGCATCAGCTTCGAGCTGCTGTGTTGAGAATTACCATCTAAATTGCTGTGCCTTGAGGCATGGTGTCACTTGGGCCTGCCCACGAGAGTATCTTGTGGATCCGGAGCCAGAGACCCAGAAACTGACTGGGTTGTGCCGAGCTGTGCAGTGCGCAGGAGGAGGCAGTGTCTGGCCCAAAGGCTTGCAGTCTGAGATGAGGTGTAGAGAGACTAGATTCGGAAATAACAGATGGCTTACTGAATGCCCTGATGAGTTTCTTTCCATGTCTTTGTGAGTGTGTAGAGAGAGAATGACAGAAATTCTGCAGATGTTTGAAGGAGCCCCTCACAAGCAGGAGGGAGTGCAGTGTTTGTGTTCTAGGACTTGGACAATCAAAGCGGTTTTCTTCTATCAGAGTAATGCTTTCTTAGAGATTGTGAGGATGCTTTTGGAGACAAGAATTACAAGGCGGCCCTGATAATGTAACAACACACAACTGTTCTTTAGCCTGTGTCCTTGTTCGAGATTTGGTTTACAGCCTAAGATGAGTACTATTAATTAAAATGCAGGCAGACATGAGTTGGCTAGGATCAATATATCGGTGAGGCTGGTGTGAGCTCTGCAGTGGAGGCACACGCTTAAATCCTCTGAATGTTTGCATGTAGTACCTGACATTGCGTGTAAAAGCAGCCTCCATGCAAAAATTCTCATCCGCCGAATGCAGCACTGACAGGGGTGAGAGACTAAGCTCAGAGGGTGAAGCCAGTTCTGTTCCATGTTGAACACATAGGTTAAGCACCACTTAGATTTTTACATGTGTCATTTACTTCATGGGGCTTCACTGACCTGAAGCTGTCCACATCAAGGTTATTAAAACAGAATAAAGATTTGTTTTGATTTTATATACTGTTGTCATGTGATACTGGTAGATTGGTTAACTATTGGGGATGTGTTTGGAAGAGGTTTATTTTAGTATTTTAACAGCCTTTTTTCCTGTTCTACAATTTAAGATTTACCTTTTTTTTTTTTTTCTTTAAGTACCGTGCGAAAACGACTGCGAGAGGATAGAAAAGCTAACACAGCACAGAAGCTGCAGCAGATGAAGCAGAAGCTAAATGAGACTGAAAGAAAAAGAAAAAGGTGGTTATATTGGAAACCTATTCTCACTAAGATCGGGTTTGGTACACTGATTTTAGTTGGCGCTTATTCTTGCTGGAAAATGTATGTTCAAGAACATTCCTTGTAAGTAAACAGTAAGCCTGTCTGCTCCAGCAGCTGATTTTGCTGCAAGTTAATGACTAGGGGTGTGACTTTAAGCAGTAAACTCCTTACACCTGGAATGGGTACAGACCATTACACACGATGAGAAGTGATGTAAACTTGATCCCATGTCGACATCTCAGGACTTTCCACTGCAGGTACTTACAAAAATGAACTGCTACCCCCCCCCCTCCAAAAGAGTTGATGGTTTTTTTTTGTTTATATGAGCAGGTACAAACTTGCAGCAACTGTTTATACACTTTTTAAAATGGTGTTCTACTGGTCTTAGGCAAAGCCTGATCCACAGAGGTTTAGCTACTGAAGGCTGTCTGGATTTAAATTTACATGCCTGACATAAGCAATAAACAGTGTTGTATCATTTACATTATTAATGCAAAGAAGTTATCCTTAAATGTGTGTAATGTGGAATGTACTAGTGACATGAACATAAACATTTTATATTCTTATGACCTAGGATAAATATATTTTATAATTGCATATTTAATCTTTTTGTAGTTCACTGTACTTTTAAAAGCTCAGTTTGTACAAATTTCTGACCAAAAAGAATTTGATTTTGAAACTAAATGTAATTATGCATGAAAATAATAGTGCGACCATTCCCCATATTTTGACTCTCAAATTTATGATACGAGCAGCTAGGGGTCTAATGAAGCACTTACCAATTTCTACTCTGTTAAGTTGCATTCCTTATTTATTTTTTTTGTAGTTTCATTATTTAAGTAAGACTTGGAAATTTGATTTTTTTAAAGGCTTTTGAGAACTTAGCCCCCACTGAAAAGCATACTGTTGATTCATGTACTCAGACTTCAACTACTGTTTGAAGGCCAACATTGTTACAAGTTCTGACATTCTATTAAATGTGAAACAAGGTTTTGTGTGTCTATAGATCTTAATTGCTAGAAAGAGTAAAATGCATTCATCAGTGACAGGTGTAGAAAGCACATCAAAAGAAACCATAGTTGGACTTGCAAAGGTGGTAATAATAGAAAGCAAATGTTGGTAGTATTCTCCTGTACCCAGTATGTTCAGCTGTATGAGCCACTGCCACAATTTCACAAAGTCTAGAACTGCTTTTCAGCTTCCCCATCACTCTGTCAAAGAGGCATGACTTAAAACACTTCACGACTAATATTTTGGGAATACCTGTGCTACAGTCCCTTGAAAATTATTGAGCACTCCCTTTCCATTAGTTGGACGATAACACTTTTCTGAATAGTAACTCAACACAAATCACTTTGTCCTTTAAATTCTTTTTGAATACAGAGATCATATGTGGCTGTATGTAGCTTGCTGTCATTCAAGTTGAGACCTAAGAATTTGTAGTATTGGACTGCACTTTGAAACCTGGATCTTATTTATTCGAGCTTTGCCTTGTTGGGTGACTTCAGAGAAGTCGTGTTTTCTCCCTCCATTTTCCTAGTTTCGTTGTTTACTGGTGGGTAAGGGGGTTGGGGGGGGGTGTCTTTTTTTCCTTCCCCCCCCCACCCCCCCCTTGTCCTTTTGTAAAGCACTTCTTGGATTTACTACTGAAAAATACTAAAAGAACTCGATAATTACTTTGCTCCTTATCCCAAGGAATTAACTTGAAAGGTTTCCAGTATGTTCAAGCTTCGCAGTAACATACCAGGCACAGGGCCCACATAGTCTGACAGTTCCTATGCAAAGCTCAACTGAGTTTACTCTTTGAAATTCTCATTTCACAATAGCTGATACTATTTTGGACTATGTTGTTTATATAGTAAACAAAGGCTTAAGGGTCCAGATAAAGAAAACAAATGTAGTTTCTTAGAACATACTGCTCTGAATTTGGGAAATCATATGTCAGTAAACCAAGATAATTTGTCCTGTGGCATTACTGACCAACTATGCAGCTCTAAAAGCAAAATTACTTATTGATTGTTGTGATACAGTGTGGGCAGGCAGCTTACATATTTTAAGACATTTCAGAATTGTTACAACCACATAACTCTTTTAGCCAACGAGAGGCTTGGCAAAAGATGCTTTTTTTTCTTTAAATTGGGAAGACAGGTTTTTCAGTATTAGCTATAACTGATAGTAGGTGTAAATGTATGTGCCTTATAAAAGATATTTTGGTTATGGAAAAACACATGGAATGTAATTAAATGCTTTTATAACAGAAATATTCCAGATTTTATTCTAAATACTTAAAAGCAGCTAAGGAAAAAGTGCAGGCGAAACCTTCACTGAAATCATACTGTCATTTATTGCCTTTCTCTTTGCATGACAAGGATTTCCTGGGCCACCAGTATCCTACAGACACTGAGCTCTAACTGTGTCTTGTCAAGTTGTCACTTGAATTTTTTCCTGATTCCATCTTCTAAATTCTGGCTTTTTTCTTCTCTTGATCCTGAGCAGGCATTCCTCTTTTCTGGATGGGGCAGGGCGGGGGGGGGCATCTTAAATCATCTCACACTCTGTTACCTTCTTGATGCAATAAAGCAGGATGTGCACATTTAGCAGTTGATCTGTAAAAATTTGGTTTGGTTATGTGATTATAAGTATCTTGAACTGTTAATAATTTAAGGACCACAAACCAGTACAAGTATTGGACAAAACTGTTTTATACAGTGGACTGTCCATGACAATATGGGAGTAGAAGGGAAATGAAACATTACATCCCTTAGTACGTTCCAGGAGATAATTTGGATAAAACTCTTCTTTCTGATAGGTCAATAATCCTTGAAAGCAAAAATCTGGGGGAGGCTTGTTTTCTTTACTGCAAACTGAGCCCTTGTGATACTTGTGATTCTGTAGGATTTAAACCTGCAGCAGTTTTGCACAACTTGGATGTTAAATAGGAACAAATACAGGCCAAAATGAAGAACTGTTGATCCCAGTGACTTCTATCATAGAAAGTGCTTAAAGAAAGTATAAAAATGAAGGATGTGCCTTTGACCCCTCCTCCTGCCTCCATCCCCCCCCCCAATTTCTGTCAAGCTGCTGGCTGGTCCTGTGCTGCTTCTGAAATGCTGTTGCACTCAATTCAAAGTGTTTCTGTGTTGGGTTTTCCCTCTGTTCTGGTAATACGTCAGTCAGAATACTTGATGCATAGTGGACTTCTTTGAATTTGATTAAACAGTGTTTGACTCTCAGATGAACACTTGTGTACCAATCATGCTTGATTTTATAAAAAAAAATCACTAACAAACACGTGGACCTCCTTTGCAAGGGGTTTGCAAATTTGGAATTAATGCTTTAGGTTTTCTGTTTATGTTCTTGGTGCAGGGATAGTCCACTTAAAGTGATGGTGCAGCTGTATTTTTCTTGAAGTGTATTAAGTAAAATAACTGAATTCAGGGTGAAGTAATGGTTTGGAAAAAAAATGCAGATTTAAATTATGGAAGTAAGATGCTGGAAGTGAAACTTAGCTTATTCTGTTAAGCCTTGAGTAAAATGGTTTACTGACATCAGTTTATATCCCACTGAAAAGGGGAGAGGTGTAAATGTGTATGTGTGTGTGATTGGATTGTACAGGCAATTAAAAAGCCTGGCTAGCTTTAAGTCTAATGAATGTTAACCAAATTATTTAGTTTGGTGTTTGGCATTATACTTAAACCTGAGACACTTGAGGACTTCACAAGAAACTAAATTAATGATGACAAAAGAAGTCTTCTGCATGGCTTTAGTCAGAAGATGAAATTTGCAAAGTTGACCTAACACATGGTAGTCTTCCTGGGCTTTTTTTGTTTTCCCCCAAAGTTTTAGGTCAGTCTTTCATTTTTTATGTATGAAAAATAAATGTGTTCAAAATCGCATCTCTGTCTGAGTCTTTATTTAAATTGTAAGGATAAATACTTGGAATATTTTTTTTAATGTGTCTTAACTGATCAAAGAAAGTTGCTTTATCGATCAGTGTAGTGTTTGCAGAAGTTGGAACCATTTTTTAGTACCATGTAGTACCTTGTAAGTACCAAGGTCTTTTTCTGTGTTCCTCAGAGTAGACCCTTACGTTCCCTAAGAGCAAGATGTTGCAGTGTTGGGATGTCTTCCTTGCTGCAAGAGACCTTTGCCTAGAAACGCTTACTGCAATGCTGCTGTGGTGGGACTGGCCATCAGAGGCGATGTCAGTGTGCTGAGGTGCAGCCTTCTGTAGTCCCTCAGAGGCCCCAGAGGACTTCTGCAGTGCTTGTGGTTAAATGCACGAGTAGGGGGTTTGTTGGACTGAGACCTGTACTTGAAGCTCTCCAGCAAGTGTGTGCCTGATGCTGTAACACGGAAATACCTTCTGAAAAAGCAACGGCTGTCCCAGAATGCTTGCTGCAGGGAAACAATAGTTGGTAGTTGCTACCAGGAATGCATGAGCAGCTGTTTGGTGTTTATAGTGAGCTGCAAAAGTGCTGTTTGTTCTTATTTCTTTTTTTTTTTTTTCTCTGTACTGTGTACTGAATCGGTGACTTTCTTTTGCGTTGTATGTCACAGGCCGAGACTGACTGACACCTAAGCCTTCAGGACTTGTGAATATTCTGCAGCTATAAACTGCAAATCATTGACATGCAAAGCAAGACATGAACCCCTCTTCGGGAACAAAAAGTGAGGTCTGTTAAGTATCAAGAAGACCTCAGTGTTCTGTTTACAGCGTAAACTGCATGGAGGGGATGAAGACCACCAGCAGCGTGCTACTTTGCAAAACAAAATAATTTGCCATCTTGTGTTTTTATAATGCCTGTATTACTGTAGAAAGATGTAAAAGAAATAAATCAGGAAATATTTTGTTTTGTACTGCCATTCTTACTGTATTTTTATACTTTTTGGCAGCATTAAATATTTTTTTAAATTGACAATATGCTGTTGTGTGCACATTATGTTAGGGAGAAACTGTTAAGAGCTTGTTTTGCGGAAAAAGAAATGTTTCACCTTAGGGTTTCCTGATACCCTGTCTTAACTGGAAAATGGCAAAATTATTAGAATGTGCTTTATGCAAATATTTTCATTAATGCTAAGTATTGTAGTTTGAGATAGGAGGAACTCTTGCACATTTTTTTTGTAATACACCACTAAGAATATTATTTTATGAATCTGACCAGTTGGTTTGGTAATCCTTCCGATGTTTGCTATAAAATATGCACAAAATGTTTGGAGTTACTTTGTGAAGAGAAAGTGTTCTGTTGGTGGTGCTTTAAAGGGATGAAAGATGGGCAATCTGATGTCTCACTACCCACGGTCGTACGTAATGACTGGGTGCTGAGGGCCAGGTGCAAAGTACACAAAGGGAATGGTGTCTTTAATTAAATGGGTTTTGGATTGTGCCATCACAATGTGTTGTATGTATGATATTTTACTTCACATCTCCCATCTCCTGTCAGTGTTCTCCCTGACACAGCTGGAGCAGCTGGATTGGAAAGGGGTAAACTGGAATGCTGTTCTTCTAAGGGATTCAACAGGGTTTCCAGCCCTGTACCTGCTGCAATTGAGCTGATCTGAATTCTGCACTTGCTGATGTTCTCCTGAGAGTTTCAGATAAACCTTAATTCACCAAAAAACTATTCAATATGACTGTCTAAACTAGTATGTGGTGGGGTTTTGTATGTAATTTGTACTTTGTGCATTTTTGTAATGTGTTTTTGTACAAATCATACAGTTGCTGAAAGTAAAGCATGGAAGAGGGGGCAAATCTAGGCTAACTAAGGCTATTTTAGCCAAAATAAGCAGCAACCTAAAATCTTAACAGAACTTGGTTTTGAGGATCATTTATGAAAGCAAGCATGATGTTCAGAGTTCGTTTAACTTGAATGTGAAGCTGAATCAGCAGAGTACTTAAAGCCATTACTTGAGCTGAATCTGTGCTTGGCACCACCTTGAAATGGTCTAAATCACCAGAGTCTGGTCTGTTTAAATATTTTAGTTTCTTTAGATGATTAGTGCTGTTCCTAACCTATGTTGGAGGAGAAAACACCAGCCCAACTTGATTCAGCTTTCATTTTCAAGTTGGTGCAGATGGGAGACCAGGAGTGCTTATAATGAGAGATCAAGGTCTGGCCAAAATTACCCGTTGTTGCATACAGGAACAGAGCCTGTTATCCCACTTCATACATCTTTGGGTGCAGCTTTCAGCCATTCATGCCTTCTGCCTTCACCTGTGATTTACATTTTAAGTATTTTTGTCCTCTTTGAATTGCGATTAAGCATGAGGTGTATGGCTGCTGGAAATGTGCACATGCTTCATTATTTTACCTGCTGCTATCACAGATACCTGTCAAATATGCAACTACTGTGTTGTATCTTGTCGGGTGTAGAGGGCTGATTGTACTTTGGCTCTCATTGCACAGTGGACTCTTCTAATCAAAATGCTAATTTCCTTGGTCTTGAAGTTTTTTAAATGACTTTCCTCTACTAAGCTGCTGGGCTACATTTGATGTCAGGCTAACTTGATGAATAGGCAAAGAGGAAAAACATAGAGTAGTTCCAAAACCAGAGCTTTGTCAGGTTTTATCGATGGCTGCCATGTGCCAGCAGCAGTCTCAGCTCCCTGACCCAGGAACTTCTGACACGTGCATGTGTTTTATTATTTTTACACAAGACCACAATTCTTCTGCTACTGGGAAAATATGTTTAAAAAGGTGAAGGAAGGGGAGGGGCTGCCTTCTGAAAGAAAGGCGGGTAGAAGAATGGTAGACTTGCAGATTTTCAAATGAAAAAGCTGATTTACTGGCTGCCATTGTTTTTTTCCATTTTCCAGGAGAGATGTTGCAGAACTACTTGGTCTCATTTGCGCTAGCCATCTTACTACAAGGACAAAACCTTGTTCTGCAGCAAGGTTTTGGTGTGCAAGAGGGTAGGTGGGCACGGTGGGTGCAGCACTTCGGCGGGCAGC